CTCTACTATATTATATTACTACTATATATGTCGTCTTNTTATTGTATTTCTTCTTATATATATATATATATATATATATATATATATTCTTAGGGTTTGTTTTTCAATGGATTGCATACATAAGTTGTTGTAATTATTTTGTTCTATTATATGAGGAATTAATTCTGTTCTAATGACTATTTCTCCAGTAGTCATTTTATATGGGGTAGCTTTTGTTTCTAAAGTAGGTGCATTATCTGTTTCTTTTCCTTTTATAATTAGACTTCTTTCGGGGGGGATGTATACTAGTAATTTTAGTTCCTTCTAATGTATTGTATGTACTATATTGACTTTCTAAAGTATGTATTTCAAAGTTAGGAATTGGAATATTTCTTTCTTCTAATATTTTTCTTAACCATATAAAAAATCCTTTATTTTGTTTTTCTTGTTTCGGGAATTTATTATATTTTTTATGAAATAGTTCTAATAATCTTGGTTCAAATCTTTTAAGATACCAGTTTCTTATTTCTTTATTTTCATCTGATAGATAATCTGTATTATTTAAACCACCTCCTACATTAAACAAAGAAAAATTTCATATAGGTGACAATAATAAAACCCTAATGGATCAACTAATATCTAAACTAGCTAAACTTGATATCAAAGAACTAGATGTAAAAGGCAAAAGCAAGGTAATAATTAAAGAATGTGAAACATTAACGCTAGAGGTTGAAGAACCCATAATTGAAGATTCAATAAAAAATATGGAAATAGCCTTTACTGAAAGTAATGATAATCAAACTATCCAAAGAATATCTTATGGAAGAAATTGGAAACTTGCTACAGCTTGACCATATCACCCACGACCAACTCCTATATATATCCAGTTTGAAGAAGACCTCATATCTCATACAACCTCCTATTCAGGAAGAACCATAGTTAATTGGATTATAGATGGCATGTCTGAACATCAAATACTTGATACCATGAAACTTATGACTATGTATCCCTCTGCCTGTAAAATGGTAGGCAATCATGATCAGGAAGTTGCCAAAGCTATAGTCTGTGGATTTACTGGCTGGCTTCGTGGTTGGTGGGATTTTCACTTCCCTGAAAATACAAAAAATCAAATATTAACTACTACTAGGCAATGGATTGTTAAAAATGAACAAAATCAAGATATATTATATTCTGAAAGTGATGCCGTTAATACTCTTATTTATATCATCACTCTTCATTTTGTGGGGAGTACCGCCCTACTCGAAGCAAGAATTGAAGATTTATTATCTAATTTAAAATGTCCAACCCTATCACATTATAAATAGTATAAAGATGTATTTTTCTCAAGATTATTAACTAGGGAAGATAGCTAATTAGATCATTGAAAGGAAAAATTCATAGCTGGTTTACCATACTTATTTGCTGAAAAAGTAAAAAATAGATTAAAAAATAAACATGGAGGTATCATACCATATTCTGCTTATACTATAGGGGAGAATTATCTGCTGAGATATGTGCAGAAGGATTAGCCTTATGCACAGATATGAAACTCAAAGAACAATTAGATAAACAAAAAATGACTGGTAGAAAAGAGCTAGGAGACTTCTGTGAACAATTCGGTTATAATATTGAAAATTCTAAAGATAAAAGTTATAAGAAGAAAAAATATAAAAAAGAAAGAAAGCCATATAAGAAAAATAAAAGAGAAAAATTTATGAAACGATTTCACCAAAACAAAAATATAAAAAAGGTAAGAAAAAACTATCTGTTTGTTATAAGTGTGGAAAAGTTGGTCATTATAAAAGTAATTGCAAAGTTAAAAAGAAAATAGATTCATTAATATTGGATGAGACTATTAGACATAAAATATATGGTATTATACAAATATATCATGAAGATAGTTCTGAAATAAGTACTTCAGAAAGATCTAGTGATAATTCATTAATAGGAAATATAGAAGATGAAATCTTATATGGAATAGTACTGAAGAGTTTGATAAAGAAATGCAAGAATGCTCTTGCAATATGCTATCTAAAGAAGATACTCTTATATTAGATCTAATAGAAAAGATCACAGACCCTGAAGAAAAAAGAGAAACTATAACTCAATTTATTAATTTTACTAAAACAAAAAATAAACCTGCACCTTTGATAAAAACTCCTGATGAATATAATTTTGCTGAAATAATTAAAAGAATAAATAAGAAAGATATAGTTAAAAAAGAACCAACAATAATAGAATTTAAAAAGAAAATAAATGAAGTAAAATCAGAAATACAACAATTGAAAGATAGAATTAAAGTATTAGATTTATAAAATGAAGTCTCAGGAAATATAACTGATACTGATGAAATAGAATTTGAACAATTAATAAGCCAAACAGAAAAACCTAAATCCTCAAGAACAAAAATAGAAGACTTAAATACTACAAGTGTAAATTTAATAAATAAAATTATTACTTAAAAATGGTTTATATTAGTCAAAATTATAATTAATAATGATTATACTTTTCAATCTTTAGCATTAGTAGATTCCGGAACAGATTTAAGTTGAATCAATGAAGGATTAGTACCCACAAAATATTTTGATAAAACAATACAAATCTTGAATACTGCTGATGGAAGTAGATTATTTATGAAGTATAAATTATCCAATGCTACTCTATGCAATAATGGACATTGTTTCACTACTCCCTTTATAATGGTAAAAGGACTAAGTCAAGCCGTAATTCTTGGTGTTCATTTTCTTACATTGTTATATCCAATCACAATTATTAATAAGGGACTAGAAACAACTATAGCAGGAGAAACAATACTATTTGAATTTGTAGATAAACGAAAATTAAAAGAAATCAATAGAGTAAAAGATATTATTAAACAAAAGGAAAATTTTGTTTATTCTCTCAAAGAAGACATTAAATATAAAACACTAGAAGAAAAATTACAAACAACTAAAGCAGAAGAGCAAATAAAAACTATAACTAAACAAATAGAAAAAGATATATGTAGTGAATTACCCAATGTTTTTTGAGAAAGAAAAAAGCATATAGGAAGTCTACCATAT